CACTGGCAGCTAGTCCCGAAAGCAGTGGCACTTGCCACCGGAAGTGCCATTAGTAGGTGCGGTGCCACGATTTGCGCTCGGCCCTGCTGCTTTAAGGCACACAGACCCGCTACAGATGAGGCTTGAGACAATCTCACAATGTAACAATTTTTATTTATTCCACCATTGTTTGTTAATCAAAAATACTAGTCTAAAACCACTCACATTAAAAGTCAGTGCTAGCTCAACTCGGGGATGGAAGTGCAATTCGGGGTAGTGTCCTAAAAGAAAAGAAACACAGCAAACGAAACAAGGCAAAAACAAAAGAAAATTGTGCACCAAACTAGAAGGAGTACCACCACCCGGAAAGTCCACCACCAACACCACGAGCTGGCCGTTCCTGTCAAAATAAAGGAGAGAGAAATTCAAATTACGGACAATACAATTATGCAATTCAGCCCACAATCAATCAAGCAGCAATAGTCCAAATTAAGAGTCTGTCCGGGGAGAAACCGATCCGCTGTAGCAGACGCCACTCAGAGCGGCAGTAGAAAGATAGTCCGAGCTGATCACCAATCAGCCTAAATCAGCCACATTGGACGAGTGGTAGGAGCCAGCTTTACGCCGACTAGGACGGTGGGCATGAAGCCAGCAAACAGGACGACAGGTAGGCAGCCGACAGATTATCCAGTTGACAGGCGGACCGCCAGTCGGGGCAACCAGAACAGCAGGCAAACAGCAGGCCAAGGACAAACAGCAGCGGCTATCAAAAATAAATGTTAGAAATGGAATCTAAAAGCATCCAAACTCCAGCACTTCACTTACCACTGAGCTCTTTATGTAGTGCCTCTAACAGGAAGGAGGAAACGTGGAACTTGTACAGGCAGCCAGAAGGACGATTGATCGGCGGCGATCAGAGCGTCGTTAAGCGCATTGTTTGTGCGCACGCATTAATTTGCAGCTGTTATACAGAAAATGTAAATCAATCAAGTAATAAGCTTGCTTGAGAGAGGTGAAGCCTGCCTTACCTAGCGTGCAGCACCAACAAACGCAGAGGTCTGAACCGGAAGGAAAACAACGTCATGTCAACCAGGTGAGGGAGGGTCCTTTATATCAGTGTTTTTCAACCACTGTTCCGCGGCACACTAGTGTGCCGTGAGTGATCGTCAGGTGTGCCGTGGNTGAGGCGGGTCGGAGTTTCACCTGCAGGTGTTGAAACCAGGTTTGTTGCTCCAGGCGGTTTTGAAAGCTGCCGAGCACGAGGACAGTTCTTCTTCGTTGGTGTCCTGCGGTCAGGTAGTTCTGCAAACCTGCCGCCGTTTACGGGATGAGGCCAGGCGATTGGCTAAGAGCCAGCCAAACAGGAAGTTGCAACGTTTGAAGACAAAGTTCGTTAACTTTTTTTTAATTGATAAAGGGGTTTACAAAACAGACAATACCAGAGGGTTATACATCGAGCACAAATAAAACAAAAAGTTAAGTCAGAAAGATGTTAAAGTGGGATCACATATCCATTCTCTGAAAGGCTTTTCTATCGTTTGAATACTGAAGATATTTAATATGTGGCGGCAGCAGTGTGATAAGAATTGGGAACTTAAGTTAAATGAACTATTTTAATAAAATTGGTTGCAACAACTCCACCAAAAAGTTACCTTTAAGGCACACAGACCCGCTACAGATGAGGCTTGAGACAATCTCACAATATAACAATTTTATTTATTCTGCAATTGTTTGTTAATCGAAAATACTAGTCTAAAACCACTCACACATTAAAAGTCAGTGTTAGCGCAACTCAGGGACGGAAGTGCAATTTGGGGTAGTGTCCTACAAGAAAAGAAACACAGCAAACGAAACAAGGCAAAAACAAAAGAAAATCGTGCACCAAACCAAAGGAGTACCACCACCCGGAAAGTACACCACCAACACCACCACGAGCTGGCCGTTCCTGTCAAAAAAATATAAAGGCGAGAGACATTCAAATTACAAACAATACAATTATGCAGTTCAGCCCACAATCAATCAAGCAGCAATAGTCCAAATTAAGAGTCTGTCCGGGGAGAAACCGATCCGCTGTAGCAGACGCCACTCAGAGCGGCAGTAGAAAGATAGTCCGAGCTGATCACCAATCAGCCCAAATCAGCCACACTGGACGAGTGGTAGGAGCCAGCTTTACGCCGACCAGGACGGCGAGCATGAAGCCAGCAAACAGGACGACAGGTAGGCAGTCGACAGATTATCCAGCTGACAGGCGGACCGCCAGTCAGGGACAACCAGAACAGCGGGCAAACAGCCGGCCAAGGACAAATAGCAGCGGCTATCAAAAATAAATGTTAGAAATGGAATCTAAAAGCATCCAAAACTCCAGCACTTCACTTACCACTGAGCTCTTTATGTAGCGCCTCTAACAGGAAGGAGGAAACGTGGAACTTGTACAGGCAGCCAGAAGGACGATGGATCGGCGATCAGAGCGTCATTAAGCGCATTGTTTTGCAGCTGTTATACAGAAAATGTAAATAAATCACAA